GAATATCTCTATTGGAATCAGTAGAATGTTGAAAGTTGGACTCTAAAAAGACTGGAATAAGCGATGGGATAGAGGAAGGTGGAATTTGAATTGTATATGGACTGTCCTCTTTTGAGTTAACTACTTCCCAATATACTTTGGAAGCATTTTTTTGTAAATGTACGAACAATTTTTAAAAGGGAACATCACAACTTATGAAAATTTTAGACTATGCCGGGTCAAAGCAGATATGAGCATGGTGAGTGTGAGAAATACCTAAATATACACACGGGGTGGATCAGGGTTCAAGTTTATTTTTGTAGGTTTAAGCCATGGGTAACAAAGACAACCAAAAACTTTTAGTATGGTATGTTAGGAGATTAACCAAATAACTTTTGGTAAGGTGACTGATTATTTAGGATGGGTATGGGAAGTCTATTAATAAGGTAGACAGCATGATGTCAGGCAAAAGATCATAGTTTAGGTGGTAAAGATGCTTCATGAAGAAGAGTCTTAGCAGTTTCAATAATATGTCGATGTCGACGTTCAGCTATGGCAACACGTTGTAGTATGTAGGGAGGTGAAATTAAGTGTTCAATGCCATTTTGCTGAAGATAGGGTTGAAGGCCTATGAACTCACCGCCTCCATCTGTATAAATTGAAGAAATTTTCTACCAAAGGATAAAATTGTTTAAATATTCACGCAACCTCACTTTTATTTTTAAGTGTATACGACCAAGTATATTTGGTGTACTGATCAACAAAAATACAGTAATATAATTCTTTGTCTAGTGATAAAACGGGTAATGGTCCCTATAAATCACTAAAAATAATCTAAAGAGGATTATTACTGGACAAAGTGAGTCGCTGAAATGACAAACGATGTGCTTCATTAGAAGAACAAGCATTACAAAATTAAAAAAAAAAATTCCTTGGTAGCAACAGGTAACGAAAACTTCTTCAAAAGAAAATTTAAAATTGTAGAATGTGAACGACCCAATCGATAATGCCAGAGGTGAAGTGGGGCTTTAATGGAGGCAAGGCTGACTAATGGTGGTGTGGGTTGCAGATGCGGCCATTCATAGAGTCCATTTTTATTCCGGCCTTGTACCAGCGGCTTCAGAGTATGCAGGTCCTTCACAACAAAAGTAAAAGGAAAAAATCCAACAGATGTTAGGTTATCTTGGCAAAACTTAGCAACTGAAATCAGTTTTTTTATTTTTTTTTTAAAAAAAATTTGTGGAGCACAAAGAGTGTTAGAAAGCTTGAAAGCAGTTTTAGATGCTTGTATTTGAGTTGAACCAGTATGAGTGATGGGAATGATTTTACATTCGCCCATGGATATTTCCTTGTTTCCTTTATACTCCTCAAGGTTGTAAGGCTCTGCAGTGACACGGTGCATTGCACCAGAGTCTAGAACCCAGGAGTTTCAGTTGACTGCATGCCATAAGCAAAGTTAACTTTAGCTTCAAAGTGATTGTGTGACTTGGAGCGACAAACATCTGCCGTGTGCCCAATCTTTTGGCACAATTGGCATTTGATATATTGCTTAGATTGTCTCAAATTTTGCTGATTATTGGGGAGGCTGAGATGATTTCCAGGGCTGATTGTTGAAACGACGGTTGTTCTGTTGAATTGAGTAGGCGTGTTGGTTTTCTAGGCTACAACTGCTGTAATCATAGAAGATAATTTTTCAAGGTCTTGGTGTTTGAGCAAAAGCTCGTGATATGTGAGCTTGTGAAATAATTCCTCAAAGCTCAGAGAGGAGTCTCATGCGCGTATCGCAACAAATATTTCGCGATACACAGGGCCAATGCCACTTAGAATTTTGATAACAAGTTTGTCATCAGTGACAGGTGAACCGGCAACTTTGAGAACATCAGAGAGAGAGCGAACCTCATGTAAATACTCTGCAATGGATTTTGAGGCCTTCTTGGAGTTTTGCAATTGATCTCACAAGCTAAGGATGTGAGTATGACTCTTGTTGGCATAAGCCGTGTGAGGGAGTTCCCATGCTTTGTTAACAGATAAAGCCGTGGCAACAGTTGGAGCAATGATAGGATCGACAGATGCCATCATTGTTTGTTGGATCAATTGATCCTGAGAGAACCAGATTTGATACTTGGGATTTGGTACAGTAAGATTATTTTGGATAATAGTAGGTGACAGTGCAATTGTGGTTCCGTCAAGATGTCCCATGAGTTGATGACCAATTAATAGCATCACAAGTTGGGTTTTCCAGGTTGAGTAGTTGAGGTTACTTTGTAGTTTAATAGGTAACTGAGCAACAAGATTAAATTGTACCAGATGAGTGATAACGGAGGCTATAGGATTGCTGCTGGCAGTAGTAGCATCACCAGAGTTGATAACTGAAACCATGGATGCGTAAGTTTAAAGAATGAATTGGATCTAACTTGGTGGAGTTTATTGATGCTCTGATACCATATAAAGTTCAAGTGATAAGGAGGTCAAAGGATGATTGTATTGAATCTGATAACAAGCCTTAAATACATAAATTACAACAAACTAGAGCTAAAGTAAAGTTAAGTATCTGCTACAGAAGCTCCTATATAAGAGGAACTAATATCTACTCCTAAAGATGCTCCAAATTATGAAGAGACTTATTCAAACTCTACCAATCAGTAACAAGAGATTAACAAGATAATATCCTATGACTTAGTCAAGATAACCATAAGATAAGATGATTAATAGATTAGATCCCTTATGCAAATCATGCGTCGAATGTCTTAATTAATATCGTTGACCCTCAAAATTATTTAATAAATAAAAATTGAAAATTCTATTCACCTATAGATATATGAAGATGAGAGTAACTTGAATAATAAATTTAGTATTGCAAATTTAATAATTAAGAAAATCGTTAGGATGAATATCATTGAATATTTTTGAAAATAGATAGTGAAATTTATATTTTCACTTGTTATTGGTCATGTCTTTGTTCATATGCCTCTCAGAATTATAGAATTTTATTATTTTGATAGTTAAATATATTTTTGTATTTATTCATGAAGGAGTAATATTTTAACTTATAGTACTGATAAAGTATATTGATTATTAACTTTTTAAAAGGTAAAATGTAGTTTGATAATACATTTTAAGAAATTTTAATTTTTTTAATTGTTTGAAACTTAAGACGTTATAATTGATTTGTATCTCATAATAACTTTAATATTATTTCATTGTTTTAACTTATAAAAACATGCTAGATATTTTATTTTCTCTAAGTTTATTTAAATTTCTTTAATTTTTCGGCTTTTAATTCACTTTTTATACTTTTTTGTTATTATGCTATTTTATTAGTTTACAAATTAAAATTTTTGATTCATAGGGCTTACGCCTCGTATTAAGTAAAACGCTACGTCTCACACTCACGTCCCATCCTTTTAAGTCTAAGAAAGGCCTGGTCAGCCAACGACAAGGGGAACCATCAAACTGTAATTTCAATCCTTAAACGAGATTGTTAACTATAATGAACTTTCTATTGATAGTTAACTTGTATTTCTGAGATTGGATTTAGCTTTGACATTACATATTTTCTATGAGATATAGTTAAAAATGTTTTATCTTTTCAACAAAAAAATTATTTTATGACTATAGTGCAATAAATTCAAAGTACAATTACAATCCTTGGCACAAATACATGCTGAGGTGAATCTTGAGAGCAGAGAGCAAGAGACAGAGATGCATTAGCAGTTTAAGCCTCTAACCAAAGTGCAAACGTACGCATACATTGAGCTCGAAATATGTAGTATGTACACACATACCAATATATATTTATACAAAAAACTGTATTCATTTTTAAATGGTATAATTTGAGTGGTACTCTAAACTCAAATAAAAAAAGCCAGTGCGTGAGCAAAGCATCTGCATTCACGTAAGGTACGAGGAAAGGCCGTGCCCTAAGGGTGTGGCCATGCTTGCTCACTGGTTAATTCAGAGGAGGAGCCAGAATTTGAAATTTATGGGTTCGGGATTTTAATTTTCTTTAAGTCACTAGTTTCTAAATTAGTAATTTGTACATATTTAATGGATTTCTTAAGACAATATACGGTGTAAACCAAAGCTATTGTGTTCGACCGAACCCTGGTTCGTAGTCCAGAGGCTAGCTTTGCCGTGGCTAAATCGGGTTGTCTGTATCTTTGCTAACTCTTCTGATGTAAACAGTTTTAGTGGCTGCTTACATCGTTTGAATATGTGACCTTTAAATCGTCCATAAAACTTTACCGTTGCTCTGAGGCTAGCTCCCTTCAAACTCATGGATTACAAATTTTGAATTTGCTACAAGACAATAAGTGTTCGGTCCATGCACTCATATGTACAAACGAACAAAAACTTATGATGACTTTGAGACTTGAGGCAACCATATGTACCCACAAGAATAAGACTTTGAGGGAGTAAAATAGCCAAAATAGGTGGCAAATCAAGAAAATGATAATGAGAGGGTATAAAGTTCACTTGCTTTTTCATATGTTTGTCCCTAGCTTCCACCTAAAGAATTTCCAAGTTGGTGAGCTAATAGCAATATATGCTCACTCGTTCAAATTCTTGATCATTTCTGTGATTCTTGAATGTATAACAATGTGGTAATGATGATAAATTAGACAATTCGAACTTCACTTTTTAAAGTTAATGGGTACACATCAATCATCAAAATACATAAACAAATGATTGAAAAGAAAGATATTTTCTTTTATACCAACTTGGTATTATTCTTTCTTATTTTCAGTAATATTCTTGAAGCTGTAGTTGTGCATTTGGTATAGATTCTTTTCCATTCTGTAAAATCTAGAACCCTCTTTAGGGAAAATGGACGGATGAATTGTGATTTTGCTGGTTTTTCTTTTGATTCTCTTATTTCCGCGGTTGAAAAGATTGCATGCTTTTTTCCATTTGCTTTACATTCCTTTTCATTGATGCCCTCCATATTTCTTTATCAGTTTCTAGGTGGTGGTATTAGGCACAATTTGCAGCTGTTTCTCACATACTTAGTTGTTTTTGCATATTCACATGTTTTATTCGATTTTGCACCTACTCCTTTTGTGTATAAATAGGGCATTATTACATTGTCTTGTCTTCAACTCATCTCAGTTCATTATTGTAGGTGGCCTTTCAAAAGTATAGTGAAGGTTGTGTTTCATTTCTGAAGGCAGATATGAGTTATGTGAATCCTTCCATGACCTCTGGTTAGTTGCAATTTTTAAGTTTTTCTTTCTTTTATGTTCTTCACCAAACATTGCATTATGTCATCCTTTAGAAGTGTTATAATTAGTTTAAGGACTTTTGGCCTTACTGCCACTATCCACTGACATTCAGTTCTTTGTCGCTTCAATTTGTAGAAGAAAGAAACTAAAGAGCTTAAGGCTTTAAATTTGTGAAGTTACATTCCCATTGTGCTAGTTATAATGAGATTAGTACACATTTTTCTCCCTTTAAGCATTTTCCACTGGAATAATTTAACTTGGTTAACGATATTACAGGAAGTAGAACGGCTAGGAGGACTCTGGAGTTCGGGAGGACATATGTGGTGAGGCCTAAAGGAAAACACCAGGCTACAATAATTTGGCTGCACGGTCTTGGTGATAATGGCTCAAGGTAGGTTCTTTTTTGCTTTTAAGCCGAACGAACATTCTATGGTTAAATTTTTAAAAAAGAGTGTCACATTTATACATTGTTGTGCTTCCTTAAGCCAAACTTTCTCTAATCTGAAGCGAAGGAATTGGATAAAGTACCTAAGATAAGACATCACTTTAGTGTATTTCCTGTCTTCTGCAATTCTTTATTGCCTTTGAACTTCCTTTGGAGAAACCTACAAATTGTTATTCAAATAACCTGTTTATTTCCTTCATTTGTGTCACTTTCAAAATGTAAAAGCAACTACAGAAATAATGGCATCACTCACTAGCCTGATATTCTGTTCCCTTAGTGGAGTTCACTGTACCAATTGTTGGAATAAAGTTTGTAATGAAGCGTGGGATCATTGATAAAACAAGAGAAGAAAAATTGTTTTAGAGAATGTCAACGTTGTGACATGTCCTATAAGGAAGTCATTCAATGTTAAACGTTTTTTTAGCTTACTTTTATGTTAAATTCTTGGTTAAATAGGATAAAGGAGAAAATGCAAAGCAACCATTATTAGTTTTCTACCTAAAGAAAACTCAAGCATTTCTCTGGTGCGACTATGCATGCTTGCTTTGAGCCAAGCGTCTATCGGATTACACTTGTCGGATCTCACTGGTTATATTGTTGTTGTTGTTGTACCTAAAAAGTCAACCAATGTTTTGTTTTTTGTAGTGTCTGCTAATTTTGCTTGTTTCTTTTTGCAGTTCTTCTCAACTCTTGGAGAGCCTATCTACTCCTAATGTAAGTGGTGAATGCAGATAACTAACTTTTTTCTTTGTGGTTAGGGTGCATTCTTGCAACATTCCTTTTCAATTAAGGTATATTCTTCCTTGTCCTAGACTAGACTATAATTGTTCCCTATATGACCCTGCAGATCAAATGGATATGTCCAACAGCCCCGACTCGTCCTGTGGCTATGCTTGGTGGATTTCCTTGCACTGCATGTAAGAATTTACCTGAAAACTATGCTATCGTGACCTTTACACCTGTCATCTAAAGGGAGTCTGCATCTTATTCCAGGGTTTGACGCGGGAGAACTTTCTGATGACACGACTGATGATCTTGAAGGCTTAGAGGCTTCAGTTGCACATATCGCGAACTTACTGTCAACTGAACCAGCTGACGGTAAGTTCTTCACCGTACTTCATTATAAACTAGTATAACTTAAAAGAGCTGGTATATCCTCTGTAGTCTTTATCTCAAAATTAATTCAGTAAGATTATGAATGCTAATGTGAATGCTCACTACTTCTCACAGACTCATAGTGCTGGCTCATTTGTCCTCCTCTCTGACCTTCGCTTTTTCATACTAAGGTCTAGAGTGGTACTACTGTCACCTAAAAAAATTAAATCCTCTTTCTGATTAGCAATTTGCTATGTATTACACAGTTAAACTTGGTATTGGAGGCTTCAGCATGGGTGCTGCTACTGCACTCTACTCAGCAACTTGCTTTGCGCAGGGGAAATATGGAAATGGAAACCCTTACCCTGTCAACTTGAGGGCTGTCATAGGTCTCAGTGGGTGGCTTCCTGGTTCCAGGTGTGCAAATCATTTTTCAACCAATATATAACTCTGTTGATTCTCTCCTTTTTCTTTTCCTTTTTAGCTTGAAGAATAATATGGTTTATCACATGCACTAGGTATTACTCCAACTTTATGTCTATTAATCTATGTTATGCGGACTCTCAAAAACAGTCGCCGCACCTGTGTCGAATCCTCCAGCTACATTTGGAGGATCTGACATGCATCCATCGACATTTTCGGAGAGTTCGAGCAATATAGCTGTGCGGAATATATTCTATTAAGTTAGTTTCTTGAAATATAAAAGCTTTTACTATAATAATGAACAATCCAAAAGGAAAGGAAAGGAAAGGAAGAATAATCTCCCGTGTTTCTCTTTTCTTTTCTTTTTTTGTTCTACAAAACAAAAGTTCTTTGGAGTTAACTACTGATATGCTGCAGGAATGTGAGGAACAAGATTGAAGGATCGCACGAGGCTGCAAGATGTGCTGCATCTTTACCTATTCTACTCTGTCATGGAAAATGTATGCACTTCACTCGCAAATATTTGTTTTAAAACCTTGTCGGTTCTTATGAATAAGGCTATCTTAACCTTTATCGAAAACAGCCTCCTACTCCCTCGGGTTAGAGGTAAGGTGTGCGTACAAACTACCCTTCCCAGACACCACTTGTGGGATTTTAGTGGGTTGTTGTTGTTGCTATCTTAACCTTGCTCCAAAGAGGCCTCTTGATGTTTTCAGTGCAAATTGACTAATGTAACTCATATGAAGTATGTAGAATGTCAACCTCTATATCCATCTTACACTCTAATTTGTACTTGTTAGGCGATGAAGTTGTTCCTTATAGATATGGAGAGAGGGCTTACCATGTCTTGAGCTCAGCTGGATTCAGGAATCTTCAATTCAAAGCCTACGACGGGTAACCCTTCTTTTTCTCTAGCAGAAAAATTATACTTGTCACTATTTAAGAAAGAGTTGTCTCAATTACACCAACTTATTCTATCTGCAGGCTTGGTCATTACACAGTGCCAAAGGAAATGAGTGAGGTTTGTAATTGGTTAACTGTAAGGCTTGGACTTGAAGGTTTACGACGATAAACACTACATTACAAATATTTCATGGTCAACATATATAGCTGAAGAAAAAGAAGAGCATTGGTACTTGATATTGAGAGTTCCTGATTGATAAATTGAAGTCCATTACAAAGATTCATTAATAGCTGATGACAAATGCATGGGAAAGAAGTAACAGAGAGGAGGACACAGAGTTTTCATATAGTTAATATACTATGTATTTTGGTGAATGCCAGCTAGGATTTAGTTTCCAGTTTTGACTTAAAATCTTCTGCATAATAAAGTTTTGGATGTTTGCTAGCTGTTTTCATTCACTTGTAGACACAAACTTGGCATTTTGTTCCCTTCAATTACACTTTTTTTATTCTAAAATTTCTGTTTACTAGTATCTTCCCACGTGTTCTTGATTTTTTAATAGACTTTATTAGTTATTTAAATATATGTTCGAGTAATAAAATAGAAAAAGAATACAATACAGATTTCTAAAATGATGACTGTGATACTGGGTAAATCACTTTACAATTTAGCTCAAAATGATTGAATCATCCTTGACTATGAAGCAGTATAATGAGAAATGTTAAAATTATTATGACTTCTTTGTAAAGATTAAAAGGACTACATATTGTAGACAAAGCATATTATATTTATATTTAAATTTTAATGGCATATGGATTGAATTGCCATAATTTGTTTGTCTGTTCTACATTCTCAGATTATGCATATGAATGGGAGATAGGTGTTTTGTATAGACTGATTGGAGACACAATTATTAAACCAAGGCGATATATANTACCATGCCATTTTTTCATATATATATATATATATATATATATACTAGTAAGGATAACCCATGCTAAGCATGGGCCCAATAACATTATGTTTAAGTTGAGATAATTAGCAAGAGTAAAAAATTTTCTTAAATTATATACATTGATAGTATAAAGACTTACTCATCATTTTTACAAGCTAGGTGATTATTTGTTTTTGTGTTTCAACTAAATGAAAACATCTTTTTCCTGAAGTTAAGGCATGTAGTTTAATATTTTTATTGTTTATTTTTTATTTTTATAGATATATCAATGCCTTTGGATTCCAATTAAATTCTTTTTTTTTCTCTTAATTCTTCTGTAATATTTTTAGTTTTTTGCTTAATTTTTATAAAAGTTATTAGCATAATAAATGTCATTCTTCTATTTAATTAGAAAATTTATCCTTAATATCATTGTAAAGAAACTAATACCTCCGGCAGTGTTGCACTAAATTTGCACCAAGTTAATCACGTCGTTTGATAATACTAAACTACTGGATTTTTTCTTGCTCATCAATAACTTTACATTTTCTTTTCATATCGCTATTATGTGCATAATTCATTTTTCTTCTATTATAAATTATTGAATAAAAATGTTCACTTCATTTGGAATAGTCTTATATTACGTCTAGAGTATTAGGTCTATGTTGCTTATTTTTGATAAATTTCTGTAATTTATTTTTACAAAAGGAATTTTTTTCTCCAATAAATACCTTGTATCGCTTCCATTGTATTAGGTTTCTATCTTATTTTATTTTTGATATATTTTCTACATCTATTGTAAGAAATAATTTTTTACTCCAACCAAAATCAAAATTAAAATCTGATAGAGTAATAGTTTGGACATCAAAATACTAAATTCAATATTTTTATCCACAAAAGTTTTGCAAAATGACTACAAGTAATACAAAAATGTGCACACAGAAAGGAAGGAAAATGAAAATTGATGTACTTTGGGTTAGAATATAGCTGGAAAAAAAAGGCTAATATGTATATATTTAACATGACATAACCCATTTGTTACTCCAGGAAATGGCAATTTCATAAATGTAAGATGTGTTGAAAGTTGGAACTTTGAAACATTAAAGAGGGTCCACGTGATAGGAAGTGGAACTTCAGATGCTACTATAAAACGCCTGGCATGTAAGAATAAATGGTCAGATGGGCCCACATTTTCAAAACTATGCATATCTTAAGGGTGATGAGCAATGACATAAGCAAAGGGTAGTTTAGGTAAATCACTCAACAAGTTTATACAGTAGCTACAGTAAGATTCTTTTTTGACCAATCGTATTACTCCATTGTAAATTGAAATGACCAAAATACCCTATAAATGCCAAGCAGGCATGTTGACCAAGAGGTCCTGCTTATCCTCTCTTATATAATAGTAATATATATATATAATATATATATATATATATATATATATATATATATATATATATATATATATATATATTATAATTAATAATATATATATATATATATATATATTGTTGGGTGTGCGAACAAAGTCCCACATTGGTAGCTGAAAAGATTGGGTGTCTACATATAAGGTGTAGGGATCTCTTAATGGTATGAGGGCTTTAGATAAAAACCGTGCGGGCTTGGCCCAAAGCGGACAGTATCGGGAGAAATTCAAAAATAGCCAGATTTCCAGGTGCTCGTTCAAAAATAGCCCAGTTTCAAAAGTAATCGAAATCTAGCCACTTTTCATGTAAAGATAAATCTGAGCGAAAACACTGTTCAAAACCCGGAAAATACGCCAGTATATTATGCTGGAGTTCCAGCATAAGTATTGTTGCGGCCAAACGCACACGCACACGCAAGTATACGCGGTCGTCAAGTAATAAAGTGACTAAAAGTCGGATGTCGAACCCACGAGGACTTGTGATTAACTATTAACTAAATTAGACTATCCTAATTATCTATGCAAGAATTAAACCTAGAAGTATTTGATTCTAAACTAATTAAAATAAATAAAAACAAATAATGAACTTTGAACAGAGGAAGAGCAGATTTTTATGTTATCAATATTATGAAAACGATCTAGGGTTATGGGCTATCTAACAATTATATTATATTCTTCTATTGAATTGACTGATTAATTCATCTGATTTATTGGTTGACAGGGTTAATATTGCTCATAAGAATCTGTCGAGTTCTTACTCGCCTATTCAAGCTAGCCTAACGCCTATATGTCTATGAAATTAGAACTAACAAGAACGCATTTATAATTCCTGTAAATCAACCAAGTAAGGCAATTAGGTATATGTCTATCCTAACCGCGAATCCGTTCCCCGATGCCCAAGTTCAAGAACTTGCTCTACTCAATCCTATATGCGATCTAGAATTCCCACTTTCGAGTTCAACTCTAGATTCGTAGATAGTATTCAATTGATGATCAAGTAATCAAATAATTAAGTGCACGATTGAATAAATAAACCAATATGATAAACTAAGAAATCAAAATCAATATCCGAATAACAATAGTCATGAAAGAACCACAACCCTAGAACGTGAAGTTTAGATCTACATAGACATGGTAGCCAAACAACAAATCATACAAAGAAACATAAAAATTACTAAGTTTGGTGGAAGAAAAGATGAAACCGGATGAATTCCGGCCTCCACGGCGGCTCTGTGCTTGTGTTTTCCTCTCAAAAACGTCCTCCTTTCGTCAAAAGTTATGTAAAAATTTGTGTTTAATGACTATTTATAAGTGTAGGAAAAAGCCTAGATGAAATAACCAAGTCCAAAACTAAAAAGGAGACAAAAGTGCCTCGAACTCGGAAAGGCACGTCGCAGCCTATAATGCGAGGCAGAACCCCCCGCGTCGCTTTGCTGCTTCTTTGTCGTTGCTGCCAAACCAATTAGTTGCCTATCGTGATTTCAACTTCCTTTTGTAGGTTTTGTCTCTTATTGCTGACTTGGAACCTTCTCAACCAAATGCACTTCTTCTAATATTTTATTTTCCACCATTTTACCATAATTCACGTGTGTATGGGTCAGAATTCGACCCCACGATAATTAACGAGGTTAATCCCGTTTTAAGTTAATTCATGATTAATTAGTGGCACGACCATTCAGAATTGACGATGTTCAGCCCGCATCTGGTTCGATCGACAAGGCCATGGCCTATCCGCCACCATAAAGGCGAGATCCCAACGTGGTCACGGCCACTTATTGCCAGCTCACGAAGCTCACAGCTATAAATACCAAGAGAGGGAGCCCTAGAAAAGGGCTGCTTCTTCACCACTATTGAGAAGAGAGAGAGAAGAGAAAAACATACCCATCATATGGGAAGTGAAAACACCATTGTAAGGCTCTGAACCTCTTCATGGAGAGGCAGACCAAACCAATATTATCAATAAAGGCTTTTAATGTTTCTCCCCCTTAATCCTGAGTATTAATTTTTGTTTCCTTCATTTGGTCCAACGGATTATTACAGTTTGCTATGATTTTCCCGTGATATATATATTGTTTTATACTCATAAGATGTGTGACAACTTTGGCGCAAACAATTTGGCACCGTCTGTGGGGATTTCATAGCAAAATCGCGTAGTTCTTCCATGGACCAAAAGGAAAGAAACGCCGGAAAAAGAAGAAGCAGCCCCGCATAAACAAGCCAAAGCGGCATATCAGGCCGATGGAACTCGAAGATCTCGAATCGAGATCCAGTTCCTCTGTCTCTCATCCATCCGATGGTGCAAACAAGAAGAAGAAGCCATCCCCCCTCTCTTTTGGGGAGAATCTTCGTAAGAGATCTCCTACATCCCTGATAAGGGCTCCAGCCGGAAACCAGCACGGAGGAATCTCGAATCGAGAATCGCCTCAAGACAGCCTATAAACCCTGGTTGGGAAGACAACGGATGAGCCGCTCAAGGTCTCGAATCCAAACCGAGCTTCAGCACTCAATACCCACAATATGGGACTCAGGCCATGAGCCTTCGTCATCAAGATCAACAAAGTTCAACAACAGTTGAACTGGGACTCAGGCCATGAGCCTTCGTCATCAAGATCAACAAAGTTCAACAACAGTTGAACTGGGACTCAGGCTACGTGCCTTTGCCAAAAAGTTCAACTACGGTTGAACCGGGACTCAGGCTACGTGCCTTCACCAAAAAAGTTCAACTACGGTTGAACCAAGACAGGCTATGCGCCTTCGCCAAAAAAGTTCAACTACGGTTGAACCAAGACAGGCTATGCGCCTTTGCCAAAAAGTTCAACTACGGTTGAACCGGGACTCAGGCTACGTGCCTTCGCCAAAAAAATTCAACTACGGTTGAACCAAGACAGGCTATGCGCCTTTGCCAAAAAGTTCAACTACGGTTGAACCAAGACAGGCTATGCGCCTTCGCCAAAAAGTTCAACTACGGTTGAACCAAGACAGGCTATGTGCCTTCGCCAGTAAAATTCAACTACGGTTGAACCATGGCTCAGGCTACGCGCCCTCATCATCAAAATCAACCAAGTTCAACAACAGTTGAACTGGGACTCAGGCTATGTGCCTTCGCCAGTAAAATTCAACTACGGTTGAACCATGTCTCAGGCTACGCGCCCT